CGCACCCTTTTCTATCGCGTAATTTTGTGGTCTTCTCGTATTGTGTCAATCCTAACAGCAATCATTCGACTGCTGATCCTGTTAACAGCGCGGATAGAGTCCTTAAGGTGCTGCGCCACTGCTATGCCCACAGGATTTTCTTAGGCTTTTGCCGTCTTCCATTGAAGTGGAGCAATTCCCGATTTCCCTGGCTTTTCCTCATCCACTGCACGTCATTAAAAGACATAAGATTTGGATGTTGCTGCATCTCATCACCACTTTCTCAGGAGTTCCAGCAAACGATCTAACATTCGGAGTACCAAACCGAGTTGACTTCTGTGGCTCAGTCCCTTTGTTCTTTACTCCTCTGTAACACTCATATACTGTCCATAGAATTCAGTGCACCACTTCCGGGTTACGTCAGAGCATTATAGCTGAATTCTCTTGTGACTCTAACCGTCGTTGTTGTGACGAGGACTCCCATCACTCCCTGTCCACCGTGACGCTGGTATCAACAAAATTTTTGAGATTTTTACAGATCATGGTCTTTGCCACTGTCGGCACCGAACTTGTGACATCCATGATTCAATTTCTTGAAGAGATATAAAAAAAGAGGTCGATTCTATGGACACAAATCTTTTTCAGATTGGTCTCACGGTGGTCGTCGGCACGATTGGCTTGTTATTTCCGAAGGTTCCGCTATTAATCTGGCTACCGTCATTGCTTCTGCTTTGTTCTTCATGCGTTTCACTTTCAGCGCTTATTTATCTTAATAAGGTTTGTGGCTTTTTGAATTTCGAGCGTAAGAAAGCGATAACGAAAGGCGCTGCAAGGTCGTTCCTGGCTTACAGACGATTTGATCACAGACGTTGTTAGGGAGAAAGCGACTACTGACTCAAGAACTTCGTGGCCTTGAACCTGTTCGACCCGGCTGCTGTTCAGAGGTCTGAGTCTGGTACTAGCCAGACTTCGCAACTTTGTCGAACATGTTTTCTGCCTCGGCAGGGCAGACCTGCAGCTGTAGGGGTACGGATATGAGCCTACCTCTTCACCCCTCGGCTATATCTATCGTGATTCGAGCCGGGTGAAACTGTAACAACCTAACATATGGGAATAGCCCAGCCCTTCATCTCTGCCACTCATGTAGTAAACCCGTAATTGAAGTACTGGTACATTATTCGTGCAGAAAATTTGGTAAGGGTAAGAACTCAACATTCAGCTGACTCGCCCACCACGAGGCTAGGAAGGTAGGAACTAGGAGTTTTTGAAGAAATAGTTTCTTTACCTGAGCCTCAAGTGACTCACCAACCACTGTGTTTCTTACCTCCTAGTACTGTGGTGGGTGAGTGAAACGAGTCTCAAGTCAAGGAACTGTGTTTCTTCGACCTAGAAACGTTCTCGAGCACCAGTAGAACCCCAAGTAGTCGGGTTCCCCTACTTTTCTGCGTTTCAGTAGTTGGTGTCAGAGAGGAGGCCCCCCCCCCGACCACATTTTATTTATCCGTATAAAATGATTCTATAAAAGTAAATGCAGCGCTTAAGCTACTGTACTATCCAGTTTTTTATGCCAACCTGATGAAGCATTTAAAGCGCATGTGCCACACAAAACTTGACCTCCTTCAGGGAATCGCACTCCGATCACGTGATAACCTTCTATTTTACGTATTACTGACGGTGGTATTGATAATCTTTGTGAGTTTCTTCAATTATTAAATATTGTTCAACAGAAATTCATAGCATTTCTCTTAACCACACCTCTCTTCACAATGTTTCAGAGAGTATTTTGTGTTTGTTTGCTATTGATTGGCATATTCGTACCGCATGCTGTCGTATGGATCAGTGGATCCCTAGCGACAAGTGAGTTTTTGATTCTTCTCAGATATGTTTATAACATTAAATAGGTAAACAAATAATCCAGACCATAAGTAAACAAATAAAATTACCCGACCGTATGGTCAAAGATAACAAGTTGAAAACTTGTACTGGGAAACCACGGTCCCTCCGAAATGTTTACTCTTAAAGTGGAACCGTTGGGCTTTGACCCAGTCCTTCGACCCTTGTGAAGACCCATCGGTAATTCCATCATGCAAGATGGAAATCGATTTTAATGCGACACATACGTACACCAACCGTATACCAACCTTACAACCATCTTGTTGAATTCTATAGGAGGATCATGAAATGCTCGATTCAGCTTACCTGAATAGCTACTTCCAAATAAGTCATAGTTCGTGGAAGAAATGAATAGTACTACATGGGATCCGTCTCAGAGTGAAGCTCTACATCTAGGTATCCAACAAGTAGCCGATATATTCTAAAGTTTCCCACTTACCAGAATCGCCTTGAACTTCAGTCTTGCAATTGACTTATGCTGGATGCCAAAGTGTTTACTGGCATACCCACGAATAACAGAGACTGACCAACTGACCGTTTTCCTTCCAAGAGGCATGGGGCAAGGTCCGGATCTATATATTTCACTTCCAATAACGGCCACTCGTAGCTTGTTGGCGAATGGAGAATTACGAAGCGTGTGGAACCTCTAATATAAAAAACAATTTTTTTTCCAATAGCTTCTGATAAAAAAGAAGTGCTTCCGACAGAATCGACGTACCATTACACTATTCTGAACTTCGAAAATATTGCAGGTGATGTTGAGCAAGGATTCCCGAGGAACTGCTGGCCCTAAAATATTAAGAACTTTAGTCCAGCTTAGCTCGCTCGTTAGAATAGAATCGTTCAATCAATTTCGATTAACTTTTCTAGTAGCTATGCAATATCATTAAAAAAGATGTACAATATTATTAAAGAGCTTTGGGATAACTGGAAGTTGAGAAAGAGAACGTCGACGAAAATTTTCGAGGACGTGGCAAGTGAAAAGGGGTATGCGCGACCGCCCAATTTGGCGCTTTTTTCTTGATTGTAGGTCATCGATAAACATAAGCACACTTTTTTTGTGATCTACTACTTATCATTTTTCGCAATTGAAGTAGGTATTATAATTGTACGAAATATCTTCATCAGTTTCAAAGGTTCATAAGTCTCGCCGAGTGATTTCACTCAAAATTAGGCTGACTCAAGTTAGTTTTCGTGTAGAGTTTAGGCGGGTCCGGTGTAGCATCGCTGCCACACATACAGCGCGATCAGATCGATATGTGCCTAAACCAACCGAACCATCGATCCCCCTAACCTGCTGGGTAGTTGGCGGTAGGGTGGTATGGGAGAATACCTACTCTAACTTGTGCAGTGGCTGGTTACTGCAGACCACTGTGAAGGTCTACCACGCAGTCAAACGTTTCATTGGCTGCTTTCATAGTCCGCCGGCCGGCCGGCCGGCGGACTATGAAAGCAGCCATTGGGATTCAAAAGCGAGAGGGCACCCCTGAAGGGGTTTTCTCATTGCAAGTAAAAACATAGAAGCATAATCCTCAAGATCATGTAAACGTCTAATGTTCACATGTTCCAAGACGGAGAAGTATTCGTCTAGTCGCAGCTACGTAGGTATCCTTTGCATGACACTGTTTTCACATGGGAGCTCTGAAGAACCTGAAAAAGTTAATCCGTATTTTTATCATAGTTTTCAAAGCTTCTATAGTTTCTATCATACAGTATGTCCCACCAAGCATGGCGTATCCAGGAGACAATAAACACGGGACCGAACTATTGACGTGATTATTGGGGCTAAAAATGCCATAAGAGGATCCCCTGTGATAGGGAATCACCTACAGTAACCCTCTTCCAGAACCTTCAATTATCCCATTATACAGAACAGAAATAAAGTTGTATGCAACAAACTTTCAAGAACATTTGTAGTTTTCCTACAGCTTGTTAATTACTCAACATTATAGTTGCTCAAGCACATGCCGTTTTTGGACTAATTGCTGTCGGTAAGGTGACGTTCTATCGACTCAGCTTGGACAAACGAAACACATGGAAAGACGCTAAGTGGGGCTTGTCGATTCAAATTTAGTTGTGAACCATTTCTTAGTCGTTCGAATAATAAAACGCTTCAGGTTTGCTCCCCATCGAATCGAAGAAATTGCCATTGTGAACCTTAGCGCAAGCCAAGCCACTCTGGTTACAAATATCGACGAAGCGGAACTCGTCCATTTCGATGGTCACTGATCTCGCTCACCGAAGAACTCGTCCAAAAAGTATACCATCCAAGTGTACTGAAGCGTCCTACCTTTAATAACACTCTCTCGTTTCTGCCCAACTCTTGGTCCTTTCTAGGGAACCTCTCTTCCCTTGTTTATTGTATTGATATCTAAGCCTTAATCGAATAGAATGAGCTATCGGGACTATTCCTTACCTAAGCTCGACTTCGCTAGACTCCTACCTATTTAGGCTTTTCGATCACTAATCTGTAAGGACATTTTGGCAGATGCAGCGATTCATAGAAAATGTACAGTCATGCTAACATTTTGTTTTTTGTTAAATTCGTTCTTCATAGTGCTTTTAATTCATCAATTTGTCCATTGTGCGTATGTTACGGGTCTTCTGAATGAAGTAGTGATTCTTATTCTAGTTGATCATGATTGCTCATCAAATTGGAGATGGCACTAGACCACAGCACGCCCCTGGACAACCTCCTTGAGCCTTGGTGGGATTTGTTCACGATGTGAAACAAAAGGAAAAAAACTGCAGATTATTTCTCATAGCTCTGCCATGTTCACTTAAAAAATATCGAAGGTCAACATTAGCTCTGAAAAAATATCCCACCACCATCTCAAATAATACAGGGAATCACACGACAGAAAAGAGCCTGCCAAGGCTTTTGGGGGGCTCAAGCGAGCAGTTTTTAAGGTGGCTCTTACCAATCCTTTCTCTGAAGTAAGCCCCCATAGTGGCCCAACTGACGTTACTACTAATTTTGCTAACAAACACCATAATTTTATTGGAAGAGCNGTTCGCGACAATTTTGAAGAAAACTCTCTGGGTTTTGAAGCGAAAGTGTAGGTGGGATCCGTGCATATTGCGAAGGAAGCGAGAAAATCCTTGGAAGTAATATAAGGATTTTTAAAAATCGTAAAAATGGTGCTGCAGTGTATTATTAGTTGTTGCAATGCGTGAAGAGTCAACTACGATGACTTCAAAATTGCTATCCACTACCATTATTGCCTTCGAGTGGTTGTTTGAACTTTCCATATAAGTTTGTCATAGTGAAATGTGTAGTTCTACAACGCTGTGAAAACTCGTCCGCCTTTGAGTTTACATCTCGACGGTTCCGGTCTTTCAGTCCCTTTTTATCAGATCTAGATCGTTTCACAAACCGAAAACGCCCCACAGGACATACATTGAGGCCACAGGTTTGTCCTAAATGGAAGTCTCAGAAACTATTCTCGCTGTGAACTGCGCATTTATATATGACCAGTGAGCTACGCACGCTCATGCGTGCACCACATGTCCACAACCGCTCATCTACGATCTTACTCGAGAAGAGCAGTAAAACATTCTCATGTTCCGCATGAACGACACTGCTACACCCAAAATCCCCGTAGGTTTCTTGTCTGGTGCTCGCGCTTTAGAGTTAGGTACTCAAGAGCAAAATATCTTTTCAAGAGCGTAGCTGTCATCACATTTATATTGAAAATGTTGTCCTAGATTGTAGGAAAATGCGCATCGGGGCGGAGGTGCAGAAAAGCACTGACTTGTACATCGGCCGGCCACCACAAGCCATTGCAAGGCCACATGCGCATTCAATACGCCCTAGCACCAGATCTACATTTGAAAAAAAAACCTCCCCACATCGTTTCCATTCCACTGATTGACTCGTTGACTCTTTCCGATGAAGAACTTCCTTCGGTTATTCTTGAAGAGTGATCCCCAGAGCTACATAACTGCCGCCTTGAAAAATTTCATTCACGGTTAGTCCACTCATCGACCACATGGGACGCAATAAAACACTTCTTTCAGGCTTTTAGTAGAAAGATTTACTACATTTGAAAAAGAAAGAAAAAAAAGCTAGAGAAAACATCAAAGTAGCAGTCATCAGTACAAGTTAACAGACGCCCTTATTTACTTCTACTGCTGGGAAAGATTTACTGAATAACAAATGCATAGCGCACTTTCGTAAGAATCACGAGGTTTTCATAAAAAATCACACATTACGGCGTTGATCTTATTTAAGGACCCTTTGAAAAAAAAGAAAGGAAAGATGGCAAGTTGGTTAAATAAAATGCGTTAGTTGATTGGTGACTTTGAACATCTTATCCTTGTATCTTATGATTTACCTAGGAGCCAAAGCAAGCAGATTTTAGATTTACAAAGGCAGTGTTGCAATATGGATATACAAATTTGTAAATGTAATCGATACTATCAGTTTCAATGGCATACTGTAATTTACACTCACAATAGCCATAAATCGTGTTACAGTCTTCGCTCAACCACTGCTACATAACGCAATGTTTAGTCGTTCAAAAGTCTGGAGGTGAGTGGCAGCAGAAGCTTTCGGAAATCAACGAACGAGTAGTCAATCTACAGTTCATAGATGGGAATGAGGTTGTAAAAAAGCCCTCCCCAAAGATTCGCAATACAAAACATTTTTATCTACTCCACCTTATTTTCTTCGCCATGGTAATCGCGGAATAAAAAAAATCACAGCCAGGGTCCCTACCATCATAGCCCAACAACTCACCTTAACTACTGCTGCAAGCTTCTTGTTTGCCTACTAAATAGTAGAGTTTGTACTGCGCAATCACATCTCAATACTTCCCTTTAGGCCACCCGATGCTGAGATGTCTCCTAAAATATTTGTCAGTACAGTACTGCGGTAGACACCCTCCGTATACCTCATATGAGATATGACCAAAGCGGCTACTCGTGAGAATCTGAAAGGATTGATCATTGTGTCTGACCGAACAGCCTTTCTGGGTTTTCTCACTAGTTTTAATAATCTTTAATTCTTTTGATGCCGTAGCATTTCCGTCCTGACTCAACTAAGTTTATGTTGTGTTAAGACCTCTTCATTGGTCCTACATCGTAGAAAACAGCATGAATCAAAGTCAGAAGTTTGGGGTCAGACGCAATCCATACTATTTCTCCACACTATTCCTTCTCAGGGAAAAGGTCTGGTACTGCTCTGATAGGATGCTACCATGTGCATGGTCTCAAAGTACGTACGTGGTGGCTCTCTCAAAGCGACACCCGCAAGCCGACCCTTCCATGTCCTGTTCTGAAAGGATTGCGCTTCCTCGCTCCTGCGCTCCCGTGTCCAAGGAATAGATACGTGCTTCAAAATGCTCATAACGGGTGTGCGACGTTAGTCTCGAATGACATTGCTTCGCGCCGAGGTGCGAAGTGACCTCGTTAGTGACTAACCTCATCTTAATTACGCGATTGCCCTTAATCGTGACTAACCCCAACTTACCTATGAAAGTGATGTCAATGATAAGAATAGTGAGAAAATGAAATCTCAAGAAAAGTAGCTTTTTAACGTAAAATTTTCATGGTCTTCGGTTTTAAAACTTCTATTACGACATGGAATAGGAAAATTCGAGGGTCATTGAAATGAAGTTCATGTAAGATGTAAAATTTCATGGTCTTTGGTTTTAAAAGTTCTATAACAACAGCGGAAAGAGAAAATATACGAAGAAATTGAAAGGTTTGATATTTTTAAGAGATCTTACTCTCGTTTCTACAGGATGTAACTCATCAACATTTTCTAAGGTTCGACGAAACTCATCAGAGAGGAGCAAATCGCACCCAAATTGAAGAGTTTTGCATAAATATGTCAAAATTCGTAACGAACAAGACCATCTGAGTTGTTTGATTATTATTTTTTTTACTATGTATCAGAAAAATTGGGTTTCTTTAGATTTTATTGGAATTTTTTTTGGAATTTCTATCATCTTGCATGGTAATAAAACTTTAAAACCGAAAACCATGAAAATTTTACGTTAAAAAGCTACTTTTCTTGAGATTTCATTTTCTCACTATTCTTATC